CATTGGTATGAGCAAGAAGACCGATGTGGATTTTGATACTTCTATCCACTGATCGAGAGGTCTTTTAGGTGATGTTCAGTCAGGTATTTGGGTGCCTTCCAATGAGGCATCATTAGGAGGTATTCGGTATTTGGTTTCCACAGTTAGGGATTGTTCTAGGCATTAGTGGGTTGTAATTAGGTCCGTTGGTGTGAAGTCCTAGAAGTCAACAATAATTGGAAGAAGTGTATTTGTAGAAAGGTAACCTGTCGTTCTAGATTTGGTAGGGGTTCTTTCTTGCATTTGTGCCAAGCTCATGGCTGTTTGAGACACTTCATTAATGTGGAGATATTGGGACGACGAGATGAGATGACAGTTTTGATGGGTCGTTCCTTACTGGAGCGGGATCGGTGTTGGTTGTCGAGCATTGGTTTTGGGTTTTGAAGCTTCAACATATTTGGGTCATCTTGGTCATAGGTTACCGACTGCTGCGTGTGGAGATTTTGGATCTGGTGGAGCTACTTTAGATTTTGGGTTGCGTAAGATATTTGGTTGCCCAACATTTGGTCATATCAAGGATGTGAGATTTGATCCGATTGCACGTTTGGGATTCAGAAGTTCGTTTGATTATCAGGTAAGAGCTTCTGATTTTTTTCTGAGCAGATATGTCACATTTGACTCTCAGCAGGTGGAGAGTGTTGATCAGATCATTGGGATATCACAGCGGGTGAAGGGTGATGCTACTTCACATTGGGTGGAGATTACTCCACATACTCTAGATCATATTGCATCGTTTGGGATTCTAGCTGAGGTGACACACTTTGAAGATCATTTGGATTTAGATGCAGGTGATGAGTAGGTTTTGGATTCTAGTGCAGCTGGTGGACATATTTTGGATACGGCCATTGGTTCACCTCAGGTGGAGGTGTTTGATTTGTTTCAGTTTGGGGCCATTAGGAGAGCTATCAGTTACAGATCCGTTGGTGATATTGGTGAAGAGTTGTAAACTTTTCTATTTGATTAAGGACCTTTGGAGGTCGTTCGGGGGAACTACGTGAATGATTGATTCCTTGGGCAAGAGGATATGTAGGCAGTCATTTATGATGCAGCCGGTTTAGTGAGTTGATACCAACATTTGGAGTTTATTCGCATTCTCGTTTGGGTTCTCGACTTATTATGGATTGAGTCCGTTGTCGTGGATTTGTTCCACTTCGTACAGGACGCAACAAGTGAGACGCTTGGTTGGTATTGGTGTCGGTTCAGTTTTGGAAAAACTTCTCCGAGGTAAAGAATTGTTGGATAGCAGGTTCCTAATATGTTTCCTAATTTGTTTTGGTAACAGGTTATTAGGATTCCTAATCTATTTTGTTTTTTGTTTTAGAATTCCTAGTATGTTAATGATTTTAGGATTTATATATATAGAACAATTGGAAGAGAGAATTATTTAAGAAGAAAATTAGGGATATTTGGAGCACAGAAAAGAGGTATTTTCTGAGCTATTGGTTAGGGTTTTGTTTGGAGAGAATTAGAGATTTGTTGGTGAGATTAATTGGTGAGTTTGAGTGATTTGTAATCTCAGCTTGTACGCTTCTTCTCTATTAGTGAAAAACCCTAACCCCTTCTTGCCCCGTAGGCGTAGGCAACTTGCCAAACCACGTTAAAATTAGTTGTTTGTGTTTGTGGCATTGATTTGGTTCGTTTGGCCTTCTTTCGGCGTTTGTTTGATTTGATCTCTCGTAGCACGTTGGTTTGGTTGTTTAGCTTCTGCAAGGCTCAACACATAGTCGTCTGTAGTATCACCATTTTGAATTTAATTACTACGATTGTAGTTTCATTATGGCAGATAGACACCTGTGGTTAAATATGTTGGACTCCTTTACCCTAAGTGTGATCTTCGCAGATATTTTCCTCGGGCGAAATTCGTGAGTCTATCTGAGGGTAAAAAAGAACCCGGGGAGGGGTCATCTGCAACTATAAAACTACAGGGATATCAAGTTCAAACAACGATACTTCAGGGGTTCTCTGTGCAATTAACCCTTTTTTATTTATAAGTGTGTTTGTCGAACTATTCAGAGTGTCCAGACAATTTTGAGTATGAAGCTAACAATCTAACATGTGGCATTTACCTTTGCCACATATTAGGGGCAGTCCTATATCGGATGGAGAAATCTAGCTGAAGGCCTAGAAAGCAATTGCCTTGGTCTTGCCAATAAACAAGCTGGGGGGGCTAAACTCATTCCCTTCTCTATCTTCTACCGCTTAAGGCTAACGTTACAACATTTATTAGAGTCGGGAAGGAACTCGTTTCTCGTGAAGCACGACGAAGGGATAGTTTTGTTGTTAATCATTTATGTATAGCTTAATTCACACTTTTTTGGATATGTCAAAGCCAATCACCTGACTTTATTTACCAATCAGAACAGCCACCATCTCTATTATATGAGATGGGATATTCAGCCTAACTGTACAGTAAATAACTGCAAATTTCTGAATGAATCATGGCATCAAATTTTACTGTATTAGTCGACAGTAGATTCTGTGTTGCTGCAAAAAAGAACGAACATATTTTACATAAAGATAAATGGTAAGAGGTCACAAATGCTTTCCTTCTAAATCAAGGATCACTTTATGACTTTTGTTTCATGGAAGAAAATTCCATTTCAAATCATGTCGTATCCAACTGAACGTTGACAGGTTAATCATGTTCTCAGAAAATCTGCGGTCAATAACTGGAAGTTGCGATGAGGTATTTATCGACTTCTACTTTCTCTCTTGTTATCGAAAAATCCAGCAACCACTAATTACAGTGGAACCCTCCATGAGATCGCTATGCCTTGGACATTTGTATGCAAACTTATTTAAAGCCTTTAGGATCTTACGGACTCAGACAGAGGAATTAGGCAGGGGGTCTCATTCATTTGCAATAGTATTCTAACTAATTTTGCAATCGTAGTTGTGGTTTTCTTCCATTTGACATAGACTGGTTCTGGTATTAACTAACCCACTATTGGTTTTTCATAAATTTAATACTCCCCAAAATCCTCTTACATGATTGATTTTTCAAGTGTTGCACCTAATTGTAACCTAACAACATTTGTTCAGGCTAATGAGTCGCTAAATTCAGGGGCAGATGTATAATAAATAGAAGAAAAAAGACATGAATATCAGTTTGGGATTCAACTACCCAACACCTAAAAAGACATTAAGAACAATAGTTATCAGATCAGTTTGACGTGATAATGTATAATATGTATGCTATACTATCTGCATCATTTTATGTTCAACCATCAATATGTCATTAGTCATTAGAGTCCAATTAACAGTACAAATTTACGTCACATGAATGTAAACTCAAACCCATACTACTAATCTTCAAAGTTATCACCTGACTACATGGGAGATTGTTCAAACAAATCGATAATATAACCCGTGAGAGAAACAAAGGCACATGATACTTAACCAATATTTTTAATTGGTATACAATGATTCTCAAGAGACTAAAGCCAATTAGGTGAAACAAATGATGATAACTTCAAGTTCTCATCATATGATTAGGGAACCCTTTCATCCAATCCTCAAAGTTTAAGCCATTCTGATATCTAGCCGCTCCTAGTACTCCATGTCATCACGTACATCATACATGTGCATTAGCACGTATCTATTTGTTGTCCACCGAACTTTTATCTTATATTTTATTACCGTTTTTATTAATTTATGTTAGTATATAAAGATATATAACCCTTAATTTTCATCATAACTTTACAGTTCAAAGTTATGGTGTAATAATTAGAAGAACTTTAAGATGGTACCATAATAGTCTAGGTTCAAATCCCACCATACACCCACTGTATGAGTCCAAGTTTCGGCCTATAAAAGGGCGCTCAACCTACGGAAGCATGTTAGAATAGAATAATATAATCTTTAATTCTCACCATAACTTTAGAGTTCTAATCAAATAGTCGGAGTGACCTTAAGAATTGAAAAAAGGTGGCGTTTAACTTCAACTTCTACTTAAGAAGGAATAATTAATGTGTATTTTTCGTTGGGGATTTTGTGGAATATAATTAATGGAATAATTCGTCGCGTCTTCCTTCCTTTCCCTGGAATAAAAGCTTTGAGACAGTCATCAGCCTTACTGTCTGATACCTAGGGTCGTCTGACTTCTGTATTTCTAATTATAAAGAGGAAAAAAACCCAATATTTCATTTAGAAATGCCTGACCATGATTATTAGCATATGCAAGGCCCATGGGCTACGAAACACTACATGTGAGTGTGAAGAGATGGTCCGCTCCGATGTCATGGTAATCTTTACCATATATAATACTCAAGGAGGGGGACAATTAATGGAGCTAACATTGTTAACATACGTCAAACTAAATAGCTAGATGGTTACAAAATGCTCGAAAAAGAACAAGTGTACCTTTAACTACCCTCTAAATGTTAAAACATAAAATTTAAACAGACAGAAATGAGTTAATTCATATTTAAAATCCGATTAAATCGATCAAATTATTATTAGAGTTGCAGGATAAGAGAAGTGAGCAAATTAGTAAGAGCACGTACAGATCGTTTATTTTCTGGGACAAACCATTGCTATTGGATTCAGATCCTATCATATCTGTGAATAGTAGTGGACAGTCATCTTTTGATCTTAGCCATTTATGTATATATGGATGAGAAAGCAGCTAGGTGCAGGGAAAGGTAGCAAAAAGAACTTTTCCAAAAGGGGAGAACAAGCACAGAGGTCTTTGGTGTGATGCATTATACGAATCCCAAACTCTAAAGGAACATCAAAAGCGGACATTAAGGATGTTGTGTAGATAAATGCTAAACTTGAATACATATTCTTTTGCCCAAATCCAAACAGAAAATGCCTATAGAATTGTACGCACCTCACACCTTAGTACGTACTTCTTTCTTTATCTACTTTACTGTCAGTATAATTTTGTTTTGTTCATATCCTAGATATCTAAAGGTCAATACTCACGTGAAAACTTAGTCTACATAAACCCACCACAGCTATCAATATTTCTCTCCCATTGCCTGCCTTCTCTTCTTAATCTTCCCTCTCCAAACTCTCCTTCCCTCTCAAAGTTATTTGCCATGAAAAAAACTCAACCAAGTCCCGGCTTCTTCACCTCGAACTTCTTAGCTCTTCTCGTCGTCGTCTTCTTCTACTTTAACGGCAGGCTAGCAGAGAGCTCATCCTGCAACTTGTTTCAGGGGAGGTGGGTATATGATCCAGCCTACCCGCTCTATGATTCGTCCACCTGTCCGTTCATCGACCCTGAGTTCAACTGTAAAAAGTACGGTCGCCCCGATAACATGTACCTCAAGTACAGGTGGCAGCCAAGTGCATGCAATCTCCCAAGGTTCGTTTCTATAGATTTGGTTTTGTTGATAGCTTTGAAGTTTCTTCCACCGCATCAAAATTCTAGAGTAATGACGAGATTTAAGGTTATATTAATCTTACAGTCTAACATAGGCTGAGCATTTACTTTACAAACAATACATCTTCTATCAGCTCAATTGCAGATAGACCCCTATAGTTCTATTAATTGTTGCAGATAAAGCCCCTAGTGAACTTTATTGATTCTTTTATCCTCAAGATGTCCATTTGTCGAAGAAGAGATTTCTCTTTTTCCTGAGGATAAAAATACCAAGAAATTTAACTTAGGGTGTCTATCTACAACAATACAATTATAGAGGTTCTATCCACAATTAACCCATTTTAAACTCCTCTTTAAATGTGTGATTGTGGTATTTTACTCTAGTTTACTGTGATATCAAAAGTTCCTCCTACTATGTCAAAACTTTGAAATTCCAGTGATGATTGAGATTATGATTATATACTCCGACAGATTTAATGGCAAGGATTTCTTGTGGAAATGGAGAGGAAAGAAGATAATGTTCGTCGGAGATTCGATAAGTCTGAATCAATGGGAGTCCCTCAATTGCATGCTTCATGCAGCCGTGCCTTATGCTAAGACTTCTATATACAGAAAACAGTCACTCTCTACGGTCAGATTTGAGGTCCGGTTCTCTTCTTAATTTCTTTTGCATTCTCACTTATTTTGAAGCATGTAAAAATTTTTGTTTCATGTTTATTAACTTGATGGTTTTGTTGATGTTCACATCACATGTGCATGTTTACAGTCATTTATTTTTTATGTGAACATAATTGTAGGCAGAAATGCAATGTTCATCTTTTTCCTTGGCCTGGTCCTTTTCTGACTCCTTTTTTTATAATAATTTGAAGTACCTACTTCATTATATTGACTAATCATTCAACGATTGAGAAATGGATTTATCTTACCTTTTGTCATTACGCATGAAGATATCCAACCTGGTGGGATTCTTGGTGCAGAAACCAAGACTTTTGCTTTTTTCTCTAAAGAAAAATAATCTAGTGTCCTAGCAATTCAACGACAAAGATCACATATCTTTTAAATAATTAATTTGGATTGTACAATTATAATCTAAACCTAAAGTAATGAAGAAAATTAAAATGGTACATCATTAAACATTAATCATGTTTCGATTTCACTATGTACACATCTAAAAGTTGGATGACTCAAGTTTCAGTTCATAATGAAGACTTAAGAGATTGATTAAGCCTAATGTGTTACCAATACTGATAAGATGCACTCATGCATGCTAATTTGATTTGAAAACTAAATGCCTTTACATACATGGTCCAATAGAGATGCTTATTTTTTGTACAACTTTTAGTGTATCAACCATTATTGAATCGAGTGGCACTAGAGGCACACCCTTGGACACAATCCCAACCACACCCCCTCACCTGCTACAGTGCAGGGGGGCCTCACATGGGATTTTTTTTAAAATTCCATGTGGGGCCCCCCTGCACTGTAGCAGGTGAGGGGGTGTGGTTGGGATTGTGTCCAAGGGTGTGCCTCTAGTGTTTCTTTATTGAATCTATCTTCACTTTAGCATCAGCGAAGTAAGGACAAGTCCTATTGAGTATATTAACGGCAATATCATACACATGTCCTGTTTTCATCATTCCTATAGCAGTAGTCAACATTGCTGGGCATCTATAGGTTGATAGGAGATAAATAAAAACTTTAAATAAAAAAAAAAGAGCTGGTGTCTTCGCTCAACACTCAAATAGTAGATTGTGATTAGACCACACCTTCTTATATATCCACAGACTGGGGACTGGTTATCAGTAATTTTAATTTTAAGAAAATGACTAAATGTAAGTCCTAAAATTCGATGAATAAGAGTTTAACAAGACCTCTCTAAATTGTTTATAGTTAAAAAATAAAATCGTCCAGTTTAACGCAAGTCAGCATGAAGACTATAAAAATAAAAGACGTTATCATGTTTTTCTTTTCCCGTTCATGACGATCTAACATGAATATCAAGATGTAAAAAATCACTTCCACAGCACCGAACCTCTATAGTTATGACGAGAGTTGATAGCTATAATTTTATACTCTAACATGACTATATAGGTGAGTTGCTCTTTTTGTGCAACAATATATATTAATATATAAATCCGGTTTTAAATATGTAACTTGAGATACGGATGTGGATTGTTCAGATACCATGTTAAAATCATTTCCAGTACACCAAACCTCCAGAGTAGGACTGATGGTTTGGGTACTATAATTTTGTCCCCAACACAAGATTTCATCAATCAGAAACTTTAATTCCACTTGTATCATAACCACAATCATGAATCATTATTAATATTTTTTTCCTAAAGTAGCTAACCCATCAAACTAGCTTCATGACCTACTTCCAAGCCTAAAAAGGCATATGTAGGCTTTTGCTTGAAGCGCCCCTTGCACACAAAGGTCTGTCTTTACTTTCTCCTTTCCCCTGTTTACTCTTTGTCTCCACAAATATTCACAAGCATTTAGAACTTCTAACAGATGCTGAAAGCTCAATGAAATGAGCACATTAATGAAGTGGAGCACCAAAAAAAACATTTTTGCATCTCACCATTAAAGATCTAAGTTAGAAATTTTTATATGAAGACGGTTGACATGTGATATACGAAGATCCATCTTGTGAAGAACGAAAGAAAACAACAGAGTTCACGTGACAAACCACCAGTCACGAGATTCAAGCTCTCAATAGATTTTTATTATGATATATAGAATGACTTTATACAAATTTTCTTTTCTGTAATGAAAAAAGTCACTATGCTTGAACTAGCGTCCAAAGGTATGTTGTTTCCGCATGTGAGCTTGAGTATGAAAACTAATGTTGGCTTGATAGTTGATATACATTGTTATAGTCCACAGTTCAATAGCTTATGCTTTTAGATTGATTTTTGGCATTGGATCAGAGCATATCAAGCTTCAAGTTTAAAATATATTCATATTTTTTATATGAATCTCAATAATCCATTCAATAGCTTAACCTTTAGTGTTAACCATACTGCTTTCCAAGTTGTTGAAATGACACGTGGGTAAATTACTTTTTCCCTCGGTTTAACTGAAAAAAGATGCTAGGCTATCCTCTGAATTGAGGTAGAGGAATAATGTATATGAGATTCAGGGGTGTGAATTCTAGGAAAAAAAATTTGCGGAGGGTGAACCTGCACTTAACCCAAGATCAATAAAAGAAGGCAAAAGTTTTGGCTTTGAAATCTGACAATCTGCACTGAACATTGTTGCAGGACTTTGGGGTGTCAATCATGTACTATCACTCAACATATCTAGTAGACATTGTTCGTGAAAAGATCGGGCGTGTGCTGAAACTGGACTCGATACAAAGCGGGCGTGCGTGGCTCGGGGCTGATATGCTCATCTTTAACTCATGGCACTGGTGGACTCACACTGGAAGCATGCAACCGTGTGATATCTGCAAACACAAGAAACTATATTCAGCTGGTCGCATTAATCTCTACTTATTACATAATTGGTTCTTGTTTTCCCCCCCTCTCCCCCTTTTCTTTTCAGGTGGGACTATGTTCAGTATGGGAATCATATATCAAAAGACATGGATCGATTACAGGCATTCGAGAAGGGGTTGGGTACATGGGCCAACTGGGTGGACTCCAATGTTGATACGAGAACGACTAAGGTCTTCTTCCAAGGGATTTCTCCGACACATTACTTGTAAGTTATCGTACATAAGAAAGGTAGCAAGCTGCACGATTCTTAACGTGTTGAGAATACACGATTGAGCGTAGCCCTAAATAAATTGGAAAAAGGGAAATAAAAAGAACAATAGACTAAATTGTTTAAATGTTTGGGGTACTCTCCGGACTCCGTAAACTACTAAAGAGATCCGATTAAATCCCCGGCATGTGGTTTCAAAGCTCAAATTATGACTAAGCAACTTTAGTTAGTAGATTACAGGGCCGAAACTATATGAAAATTATGGTATAGGTCGATAAGAACATTATGATTTGAGTACAATGTCCAACTTGACTATTATTGGAAATTTCCTCTCTATCCTCTGATAAATGTTGCCTTTAAACAAAAGAATAATATTTATGAAATCAGACAAATGTCGATTTTATTTATATATGTTCTTATTCCGATGCTTAATGAAATCAGAGGAGGAGACTGGGGTGAGATGAACGCGATGAACTGTAACGGACAGACACGGCCACTAAGCGGATCGACGTATCCAGGAGGTTCCCTTCCTGCAGAATCAATAGTAAAGGAGGTGTTGAGTAAAATGTCGAAGCCAGTGTATCTTCTTGATATAACATTGCTCTCTCAGCTAAGAAAGGATGCTCACCCATCTCAATACAGCAGCACACACTCGGGTAATGACTGTAGCCATTGGTGTGTTGCTGGGGTTCCTGATACATGGAACGAATTGTTATATGCAGCTCTCCTTTGAGATACGTAGGATAAGCAGCATTGTCGAGACACAAGAAGAAAGAAAAGAGATCATAGTTTTGTTTGAAGGTACTGTTTACAGCATAGATTAATTGTCTTATTGGAAGTAAAGGTGTAAATAGTAAAAGATTCGTGCATTCAAAATCCCTGTTGATGCCTTAGAGGATAAAAGTCCTTCTGTGGTTAAATGACTTTTCAAGATTCTATAACCTGTTTCATTCTTTGGATAGTTACTTTTGTGGTCAGAATTTCATAGTTGTAATTTTGAAGTTCCTGGAGAAATAACAGTAGAGGGTTGTTAACTGCAAGATCAAGCAGACTATGCATAAGCAAGCGGCTCGCTTTCTAAATAGCCCTAAAATTCAAGTTATTGCTCTGCAATCTTACAGGTAGAGAGGAGCTATTTGTAGGAGTCTGTGAGCTCCTTTGTGCAACCTAAGCTCGGGCCACTGAGTTGAACATGTTATTTTGGTTCAAACCACTCCCACCAGCTAGCCATTCTTTACATTTGTTTTTCATGACCCATGTTTACTCATCTATACTTCACTAGGTCCGGATGTGAAATAAATAAATAGGGTATCACAATGACCGTATATGCTCGCCAAGCTTATAATTTCCTAACTTGAGCTTCAATAGATCCCATACATCAAATAGGTTATTTCGCCTTTCCACGGCCATTTATACATCAAATAGGTTATTCCTGCTAACTGCATTCTTCCTAAGGGGATGCGGAGCCCCAGACACAGAGAGCGTTAATAGATAAATTCCTAGTCACATTTCAGGCTAGGCAAATCCTGCATCCATTCTCGACAAGAAAACAAACTTACTGCTTGAGCAACGTCTTGATACTCCGAAACAAAATGACACAAAGCACACTCAAAACAAAAGGGGGAGCAGAGATTGCCGGAGGAGACCAGCTAATTCTGTTTGCATTGCATTTGTCTTGTTTGAACAGATGTGTACTAAATTTTAGTAGTTAGCTTGATTTCCTCTGTTTTGTAGAAACAGGTTGTTTTTTTTATATATATAATTTGAATATAATGTAATAACAAATGGATCAAATGGCTTTTATAATCAGCACAATTTGATCAATTTTACAACAGCAAATAAAAAATTGAATGAAAGAACATTGTGGTAATGCTTGTATATCTTGCTGAGTCTAGCAAGACAAGGACATAGACCTGCTGAAGAGCTTTTGCTGCTGCTGCTGCTGCTCGTTGTGGGTCTGTTTGTGGCTCTGAAGGGCGCAAACCTTGTCCCTGAGCTCCTGAAAAGCTCGCATCGTTTCAACATCGAAACCACCTGCGAACTGATTTAATCGAAATCGTACGGCCTGTTAGAAATTTGTGATTTGAAGAAAGTTTTCATTGAATTTCAATGGCAATAGAGTAACCTGATGTACTCTGAAGGCAAATCTTACTCCCTGAAGCATGAGCTCCTCTTCTTCTGGTCCACCTGCCACAGACTCGAGCTCGGAGGAGACTCTCTTCATGTATTTCATTGCCAATTTCACTGATGCTAGCTTTATCTGCATTGAATAAAATATTTCTGCTTTCAGCCCAAATTAAGAAAGTAAAGTAGTTCAAAGCAAAGGAATAAAGTGAGCAAGGTAAATGGGTCACATGCTGAAGTATTGCACACAGAATTATTTTTTTTTAACAAACAAGGTCATGGGAATGCAAGGTTAGATCAGATACTATCGGTCAATCTGAAAAAATAGTAGATCAAATTTAATTAGATGAGTCATGCAAATTCCATTACATCCTTCCCATATGACATGACACATCTATTCCAGTCATTCATCAATCTAGTCTCATGTAAAGTTGCCCATGCAAAGTAAACTATGTCATGCTTTCCCATCATATGCAGAGCACAAGGGGAAAAGAAAAACAAGTTCTGTAGCCAATTTTAGCAGGTCAAGCAAAACTATACAAGATTCTGATTACCTAAAGAACTTAAAGATAACAATACAGATGGTCCGGTTAAAACTTGAATAGCTAAGATATACCTTATTTAGTCAAGGATTTGATAGCTAAGATATCCTATTTAGTCAAGGATTTGATAAAGAAGATGAAGTTCAGCGCAGCAAGTTTGTTCCCTTAAAAGAGGTCGGGGGGGTGGGGCGCTGGGGTGCAACTTCAAGGCAAATCATGTGCAAATGTAACAAATTGAGGGATTTTGGATGAGATGACGAGATTAGCTTATAATTAATTTCTGCTAGCATCACACCTCACCTGTCGTTGGGGGAACTCATAAAAACTGGCTAGTCAAACATTGTGTGGTTCGATTATTTTCATATGACACTCTTCTCTGAGAATGTTACAAAACTACATTAATAAGTTCCTGATTAAATGATGGAGACTATATTCTCATATTTTACTGAATTATGTTGGTTAATTTCTTTGTCTAGCAAACAGGCTAAAACATGTTGTAGGTTCGTATTATTTTTAAATAGACATTGAATCGAGAATGTTGCGAGCAAACTAAATTAAGAAGCTTTTGGTAAAATGATTGAGACTAACATCATATTGTGCTGAATTTTGTTCCTTAAATTCTTTTGTATAGCTAACTGGCTAGTCAAACATGTGATGCATATGAAATTTTTTTTTATTGAGATTCAATCGAGAATAGTACCAACAAGCCGAATTCAGGAGTTCTTGGTAAAATGTTTAAGACTATATTATCATTTGCTCCTCAAGTTCTTTTGTATAGTTTAGAGAGTTGGGCCAAAACAAGTTCTGACAGAGAGCATTCTAAGATGAATTAGTAGTAATTGGAGGAAGAGCTATATCTAATTTGTATCACCTTAGGTTTTGTTTGGTTCAGAAATTGCTATTTTCATTGTCTTGAATCTATTACAACTTCAGTCGTTACAATAGACTCAAATAAATAAAAAGTTGATATTTTTATAAGATATTCTTACACAATGTAAATATAAAGATTACAATTCCTTTAAACAACACACAACAGTAGTTTATCTCATGTTGCTTGCGTGGGATCTTTGTCTGTACCGGGGTTCATCCGTAGACCGCCTACGGATCAGATTCGGTTGACAAAATTATTGATCAGAGCTCTCACTTCACAAAAAAAGCAATCGCTGAAGTATTGATCTCGACCAAACGAAATCAATACTCTTCTCAAGATTAAGACCAAGACTAATCTCAAGGAATGGGGGTACGAGACTTCAGATCTCTCGAACTCTCCTTTATGCCGAAGAACTCGTCAAGATCTCTTCCACCTCTCTAAAATTCGTGGCTCTTGGCTCTGAAGTTCGGCAGCACCTCCTTATCCTGATAATAATTCGCCCCTTTTGAAAGGAGATCCTAGGCTTGTATTTATAGGGTTCCGGATGCGGGGTATTTGGATACGAATGAGAGATTTGGCCATATCTTCAGTCAATAACCACCTACCCACGTTTAGATATGATATCAAGTCAGTTTGGAACCTTTGGAACAGAAAAAACCGATTGAAACAGCCTAAAAACGCATTTTGGACGTTACGGACATTTCTGGGCAAGGGTCAGCCCCTACTGACCCGGAGGGGTGCGGGTCACGGTCACCTCAGTGTGACCCGTAAAGTATTTTAGCTTTAATTCTCATGTTCGACCTCAGAATGAGGTGATTAAAGATATGTTGAAAAGCTAACGAAGAGACCTGCAACTTTTATCTTTTGATCTTTTTAAATCGCATCATGGTCTAAAGCACTTCTTTGTGCGGGTCACCCCACACCCTCAGGGTGACCCGCATGTATGCGGGTAAGTCTTTGGTGACCCGTAAGGTAATTTGACTTTATCTCTCTTATACGACATCGTAATGAGATGATTCAAGATGCATTGGAAAGCTGGAGAATATACCTATAACTTTTATCTTTTGAGTTTTCTCAGATTCAAATCGTAGCATGGTCGAAAGTTTACTTCTTTGTGTGTGTCATCTCAGGGTGACCCGCATGTGTGCGGATCAGTCTTTGGTGACCCGCACGGTAATTTGGCTTTATCTCTCTCATCCAACATCGTAATGAGATGATTCAATATGCATTGGAAAGCTAAAAAAGATACCTACAACTTTTATCTTTTGAGTTTCCTCAGATTCAAATCGTAGCATGGTCGAAAGGTCTCTTCTTTGTGCGCGTCACCTCAGGGTGACCCGTATGTGTGCGGGTTAGTCTTTAGTGACTCGGACGGTAACTTTCATTTATCTCTCTTGTCCGACATCGGAATGAGGTGATTCAAGATGCGTTGTAAAACTGAAGAAGAGATCTACAACTTTTATTTTTTGAGATTTTCCATATTCAATGCGAGTCACATTGAAAATAACACATTTTCGTGCAGGTCACCTTGAAGTGACCCGCACGTGTGCAAGCCACCTCGAACCCTCCTGATTGTATTTGTTCCGTCGTTTCACACGTTTCGACATTTCACGTACATTCATTCGCTTCTTTTTTTTAGCCTTGGATAATCTCGTTCGACTTAGATGATGACGTTTATCATCCTCGCTTTGTCTCGAGCTACGTGCAGGAACCTATAGGTAATTTTTAACGTCTACAGGTTTACATCAAAGACTAGGCATGAAGTCATATGTTTTTCTATCTTTGCCATGGATAAACTCCCTCAGAAGATATAGACATAAGGCTCTATCTACATGTTTTTGGGAGATAACATTTATCAGTTAATGAGGACAGAAAATGGTAATTTTAAAGTTGCAAGGTTGACAAATTCTTTAAAAGGGAAAGGCTAAATAACACTTTAACTGCCATATAGTTTCACTGACTTTGCATTTGAGCGAGTATTCCTACAAACCGCCACATTCAACACCTAAAGAAGATATCAAAAGTTCATCTTATACCCTCTAAAAATAGTCTCCCTTAAATATCCCTTAGAAAGGTAATACTAAGGTCCAAAGTGTCTTAAAACAGGAGAGGAATAGAAAATTGTTCTTTCATAAAACTACCAAGCAACACAGAGCGGGTATAAAGTCTATCACTTCCCGATCCGGATGCACCATGTGTCATGAATGAGTTGCTCGCTTGAACTGAAGAGAGACAAAACAGTGTTCTTTCATGAAGCCAGCAAGAAGCAGAGGACATAGGATATAGTCCATCTCTTCCTTATCTGGATGCACCAAGTCTCATGAATGAGGTGCAGTAAATATTTTCTTAGGATTCATATTGTTGCTCATTTCAATAGTCATCGCGATGTAAAAATAGTAAGAGAATTATTATGATAAATTCCCT